ATAACGACTTTGTTCCCTTTGGTGGTGGGAGGTGCCCCGGGTCGCGCTAAGGTTGCAGGTGGTTAGTCTCGTGTGGGACACCGAAGTGTCCCTCCCACCCCCGACCTCGAAACCTCGATGTTGCTCGGCAATTTTTCCGTCTCTCACTTTTAAGTCACTTTGTGCATCATAATGTCTCTACGGACATACTCTTTGGTTTCACCTTAAACCCTATTAACGTGTTATATATTAGATAAGATCAATCTGGAGTTGTTACCTTAAATACTGGTCACTTTACCGGTACTGTTACCCTAGAAATTTCGTTGTTTCAATAACCTCAATCCCCTCTTCCGAAAAGGGAGATGTTAGTCTCCACCAAGAATTAATGGTGAATGAATTATTAACCATCGTATTTGTGTTTCAAAACTTCAACTAATGTTTTCTAATTCAACAAGCTGATCAAAATTGTGTACTAATTTTCCTTTAACTTCAAGATACATAAATTAATGGGAGTAAAGCCCTATATGCAAAAAATTCAACTAATGAGGTTTTATTCACGAAACACAGCCAAACTCACCCTGAGCACACACAAAGTCACAGCCGAAGTAAAAACAATAAATGTGGCTTGATATTGAGTAAGAAAAAGGTTGATAAACGCTGTGAGAATGGGTCTGCAGAGAGAATTTCGCCGCAATCCCAACTGTCTGTTATCAGCCTGCAGCCAGGGAGGAGAGATCAGCAGAGCTGCATGCACTGAGTGTGTGTGTGAGGAAGTCCGTGGATTGGTCAATTTGGACCAATCAGCGGGGGCTTAACGTAACGGCTCCGCGGACGTAACGTAACGGCTCCACAGATTGGTCCATTTGGTTCCGGGTAACTTATGACATCATGAGTTATCCGGGAGAATCAATGGACAGTGACGTATCTCCAACGAGGCGTTTTGGGGAGGTATTTTCTGTGTTAGAGTTTTACTCGCTACAGGGTGTACTTTGAGGGTTTTGACTCTGCAGACCGTTTACATGCATAAAAACCTTCATAACACACAAGGGGACGGGTAATAACCGGAAAAGCATGACATGGGACCTTTAAGACAATTTCATTAGAAGTTGTCTTAACTCAATAAACATCGATGCAAACTGTTGCGTTGATTTTCTTTGTTGAGCCAAGGCATTTGTTTTTAGAGTGTAGGACCAGGTGGAGGGATTATATCTCTTCGCTGGCCTGGGAGCACCTTGGGATCCCCCAGTCAGAGCTGGTTGATGTGGCCAGGGAAAAGAAAGTTTGGGGCTCTCTGCTGGAACTGCTACCCCCGCGACCCGACCACGGATAAGCGGGAGAAGATGGATGGATGGATGGACCTTATTAGTTTAAAGTTTCTTAGTTCATATTTCTCCTGGATATTGTGCTTGAATGCAACCTTATTACAAACACTGTTTATGCCCACTCACCACATAGCAAGACTACAGTGATTGCATTAAGATAACTCAAATGATCCAAAGTAGAAGGTCTCAACCTCTTGCTTTATCAAAGACAAGATATCCTTGACCAACAGCCTTCAGTGGACTCTGATCAGCTTGTCATCCGAAAGCAATTGGAAGTGCTTGGGTGGGTACGAGTGCAGGATTTTCTGCTACAAATACCAAGAAAAGCAGCAGGAGTGTTTGCCCTAAAGGGCTAAAAAGATTTCAAAAGTGGGAGTAATAGAAATGCATTAACAATAAAGAGTAAACTGTTACGCAAAGCTAAAATTGCATGGGTAAAAGTTAAGGAACCTGGTGCACTTCAGAGAGTCTAATGTGCGAATCCAGGCCGGTCTTTAGAATCGACCTTAACGTGACATGCCTGTTTCGGAAGAAAGATGACTGTGCTGAGCACACTGCCACAAACAGCCTGAGAATAGCATGGCCCCAACAAGGAAGGTCTGCAAGATGACAGCAAGGAATTGTTGAACAAAAATCCAAACCAAGAGTGAAAAACCAGAAAGGTAAGGGTGTAAATGGTGACTCAAGCAGGGTGTATTCCTGTTTCCTTTGCTTTTTAGTTGAAAATGTACCCACTGGAGAAGCAAAGGTCCGGTTTCAGACGCATGGTAAGAGAAAAGTATTTGGAAACATTCTGCGATAATATGAATAGACTCAAAATCAACCCAGCCAGGTGTAACAGGTTTCATATCAGGCTTGATGGCCTAAAATACAAGATCAATACCTGTGAAGCGTGATTGATGGCCCTCCTTATAGCTATTTAGCTTAAAGGTGGGGTAGGTAACTTTGGAGAAACCAGCTCGAATGCGCTAGAATTAGAAAATACACAACCGGAAAAAATCTGCCTCTTCCTTCAGACTTCCTTACAGAGCCCCTCCTCCAACACACACAGACGTGCACATGACCAATGAGGGCACAAGATAAGTTTGTTCACAGATGGAAGGCTGACAGGCAGGTAGGACATCCAGTTATTTTAGCCGGACCGGCTCAGATGATTGGTCGTGCTTTTTACAGTACTACTACGGCTTCCATAGATTACATTTTTTTATGCATTTATTGTCAAAGCATTTAATATATTCATTGCTATCGGGATTCCTTGGAGTATAACAACAAGTTTTTCTGAAGTGAATTACCTACCCCACCTTTAATATTGCTGATATTTGTGTTTTATTTGGTGTCCCAAAAGTAGTTGCATTGACAAATATTGAGTGATCTGTACTTATATACAGTATATGGTAAGTTATTTCTTTATTGTAGTATACAACTCCAGTAAAGAAACGGCAATTCCAGACAAATAGAGAGGACACCCTCAGTGTCTTGTCCAAGATAGAACGTTGGACTTTGAATGCTGAAAGTCAGGGGGGGAACCATTACCCACACTGTTTCTGGGACAGGAAGAGATAGATCATATTGAACAAAGCAGCTTGTATTTGTTCCAAGGATATGCAAATAAATAGTTGTCATTGTCATTAAACCTTCCTAAAGAGGCACACCAGTTATTTAGTATAACATAAAGAATCATAATTTTTCACAACACAGATGTTTTCTTCACATAATGCAACTTGATGGCATCTTCTGTTAGACCCTCCCTGCCTCTTATAGCCTTATTTCTCTAAATCATAACTGGTAACAAAGGCGCTCTGTTGAAATGTGTTGTTCTCAAGTCCAGGTTTAGACAAGTGAAGTTACCAGAACAGTGAATTCCACTGCAAAGCTGCAACTAGGGAGCATTTACACTTGGATTTCTA